ATCATCCACTAATCTACCATATCCAGGAGGAAAAGAGCAAGATTGGAAAGGGGCAGATCTGTGGGTATATTTGGAAGATGATCAAAACTAGAGTTTTGCTACTTGGATTTAGAGGCTTCTTGCTATGGGTGGATTGGAGCATAAAAGAAGAGGACTGAAAGCAAAAGTCCGTTCCATTATACATATACACACCAGGGCAAATAAGCCTAAGATCAAGTAGCACATAGAAGATTTCTGGGATATCAAGTTGCTTGGGCTAAACCAAGATTTTGGGTGAAGTGTCTAGGCATACACAGATATGTATATAATGGGGATACTGCAGAGGACTCCCACTCCCATGACTGGGGAGCACTTTTCTCTGAGATGCTCAGGGAAGGCAGCATTCTGGCCTACATAAAACAGGATATTGATTCTTATTCCTTTGTCCCCAGATGGTCCCTAACCTTTGCTACTAATGCAAGCAGAAGCTGACAGTTCAGCCAAATTATAAAAAGATAGTATGTACTTAAAATTTATTTTTGGTTTTTGAGTTTTTCTTTTGCCCCTTCTTTGGGATTGCTTAAATTCTTCTCAAAACAAATAATCTTGTTTGCATAAAGCCAGTTCTAGCTATTTTTTTTTTTAATTAAATGGCTGGACTGATTTATTTTCCTTATTAGGGTAATAATACATCTGTTATGGTGTTAGGTAAATTTATAAAATTATAAATCTAGGAGAGAAAAGGTCTCAACTCTCCCTCAGTAAGCATTTATTCATATTTGAGAGTTCTTGTTTACAGTTGCACAGAGTCATTATTTTGTAGGGGGAAAACAGTCTGGAAAGGTAATACTCTTGGTGTTAATATGCTGTTGTACCTTTTAATTTTTCTTAAGCAAAGCAGTATAGAGCCATGATGTTCAGTTCCAGCTGAATTCTTCATGTGCACACCTCTGTGTTTGCACACATGGGTCGGTCATCTCTGCTGAGTACAATGGTAAAGGCATTGTAGCTTTTATTGATCATTTAATAGTGCAAGTATTTTTGTGGGGATCTGTCTTATAAGACCTATTTATATGGTTATACCCTTTTGACGTCACAGTGAGTTTTCAAATGAAGATATATTAGTGTGCATTATAAGCATATGATTGCTTGAATCATTACAGAATAGATGAAAAATTAGTTTACTGCAGTAGTTTTTGTCTTGACTGATCAAAACATCTCCCAAAGATTTTTCTAACGATATGTGATTGGAATAGCAACTTCACATGTTGTAGAGTTCCATGCTGCAGCCGAGAGGCATGTAAATGCAAGCTGCTTATTTGCAAGAAGCTTCCAGATTTGCAATATGATTGCTATGGAAACCACACAATGAAAACCTTATAACCATCTGTGTGATTTGGTAGATTTTGCTGCATAGCTGAGCTGTTTTTGTTTACTGTTATTAAAGTGTTGAAAAGAATGTATTAGCCCACAAACTGAGATTATCCAATGTATAAATTAATGTTGTGAAATGACGAAGTCTATCTCAGAGGATGCACCACAATAAAGTACTAGTTAATAATGGCGTTAAATTAGGATCAAATTTATAAAGATGGATAAGTAGTGTGTTGGTAGAGGAAACTGCTAAGCTTATGCATATTTATGATGGCAATCCCACATTCCATGGAAGGAATGCACTGTTCAAGCCAAGCTCTAATCCATTTTATACTCAAGAAGTCTGATTATTTTCCCTTTAAGAAAAAGAAATTGGAAGAAAAATCACTGGTTTCATGTCAAAACCTCAGCTAGCATAGTATTCATTGCTCACTCTTTAAATCATGTGGATGGTAGAATCATCTAGGATTGGGGGATTATTTTTGTTTTTCTGTTCTTTCTTAATACTGAAAATTAAATAAGTAAATTATTTTCAGTTCCTTGTCCAACTGTCGCTACAAGAATTTTTTAAAATTGTTTGTTGTTAGGGTCTCTGAGAGCTGGTGGAGTATAGAATATAACCTATCTCAAGGGCCAGATATCTGTTCTTTGAATCTATAGGTCTGAAAGAGTTCACTGGTTTGGCTAGTGTTCTTTTCATTCAGTGAGAAGGTGGAGAAGCATATTCGTGATAATGATGGTATGAAGCAGTGATACGGATGAAACAGGTTATTTTAACAGGTTATTTTAAAGGTCTGCATGACTCCTCTGACACACTATCTTAACAATACAGCATGGATTCTCCTGGGTGTTTTTTGGCTTTTTTTGTTTGTTTTTAAATTTTGCATTTTTTGACACTATTGCATGTTGCAAATGCAAACTTTAGTATGTCATCTCTGACCAAAGCAGTAAGTCTCTGGGTATCTGAGGCTGTTGTCTTTGAAAGGCGTCTCCCACACACTGTCAGTGCTTCAGGACATAATGCCAGAAAGCACTAGTAGGAACTATAGGTTCTCTTTTGCCACCCTAAACAAAGTCTATTAGATCTACACCACTGTGGCTATGACTACATTACCAAGTAGTCTGGATCAGTTGAAACAGATTTGTAAAGCCCAGGTTTGTGTTGAGGCTGTGACGTTCGCAGTATGCCCATTTCAGAAAGGTTTTACTATGGAGTCATATTAGTCTGGGTACATGGACTGAAAGCCCATTAGCAACTGGACCATATGCAGTTTGGTTCTGGAGTGCCTCTTCTGGCCTAACTGCATCTGCAAGGAATCTAATCTGTCCACCCTTTGGCAATTCTTTGGGGGAAACCAAAGTGTGACAAGTAGGGTGGTTGGCATCACAACTACCATGCTAATAGGGACATGCATTGTTTGAATTTGAGACCTTTTCAGTATGCAAAGAACTTTAGTTCAAGCATTTTTTTCTCTTCTTCAGATAGAGATCTTGTGAACTCTTGTTTCTTTTTTATTAAATACATGTTTCAGGAACAGGGATGACAATGTTCTAACTTTTTATATGAAACCACAATACTATCTACATATATTCAGTTATATCTGTTATGAAACATCTGTTCAAACCTCTTCTACTTTTTCTTAAGTTGAACCCCTGCCAGAGCACAATTCTGTGTGCAAGATAGTCTGATGATGATGACAATTACAGAGTTAAAATCCACAGTACCTTCAACATATGAATTCTGCACTGATATTGGTCCAAAAATCTGCAACATTTAATATCAGCATTTATTTTTATCAATGTGTAATATTCTGTCCATTAGATAAAATTGTGTGTTCTGGGAGAAGAAACTGTTCTAGAAAGTGTGACTGGCAATGGAATAATAACTCTTGTAAGTGGTGTAATTGTGATATGGAAGCTACAGAATGACAGTGCCTCCTAACGCTCTGAACAACACATAGGAATGCATTTGTGCCTTTTATGTGCCTATTCTGAGTGCTTAAAACAAACAGATGAGTGTACTTGGAAATGTGTCACAAGTGGTATGCCAGCTAGGGGGATACATTTAAATGCAGTAAATAGTTTGGAGTGTTTTGTGTTGTACCACAGCTTCAGATTTTCCCCATTCTATTATTTTATTTTGGCTCAAAGAATAGTTTGTATTCATCTCAGCCAGACTTTTAGCTAGTCAAGAGTCAGATGGCAAAAACTGTTGCTTGCTTAGTAGGGCAGAATTTCAAAGCCCTTTGTAGAGTGAATCTTATGATGTAATTGTAACATTGGTAGGACTGCGTATATGGGTTAGCAAACAATTACGCATACTCATGTCAAGAGGTCTACTCTTGTGCTTTAAACATCTGCTTTAATATTTGCAGGGACAGTCTTGCGGGTAAATTAAATTTTTACAAGGCTAACAATCCTTTGAACTGTTGATATAAAATTCAGTCTTTGTCAGAGTAGATTGTACAACTTCTGTTTAATTTGCTTATGAGGAACATTTTAAAAGCTGTGAGTTCTGTATCTGTTATCTGTCATTTATAAAATATCAAAATCAGTTGCTGAAATACGTATCTTAAAAACTGTATAACTATATAAATATCTGTTTAAGATGTGATGAGTAGTGACACCAAATAATTTAAAAGTATTTAAAGTGTAATTCTTCTTTGAAAAGGAGGTTTATCAATACACTATTTCCTCACAGAGTACAGCAGCTTTCACAGTTGTGGTGTACTACAATGGCCGAGATAAATCTGTTTCTACTTCCTTCTGACCCAAAAGAAAGAATACAACTAAAAAAGAACTCATAGTTTGTTCCCTTTTTTGACTCACCACGAGAATTGTTGGCTGCAAATTGTGTCGAGTAGTTCTTGTGTCCTATGAATGGAGTGTGGGTTTACTAAGTGAGGTATGGGAATGAGAGACTCCCATGTCTGTGTTGGACAAGAAGTACGGAGCACATCTTGTGAAGTTGCCCATGGTGGTTTCAGAGCATTCCAAACCCATTAGCCAGAAAACATGCCTTAGAGTGGTCACTGCCAGGGTTTCTCTTTTCTTCTCTCCTAAACTTGCGCTAAGATATTGATACAGTCTGGTTTGCTTAAAACCATGGTCAGCCGCAGTAGGCAAGAGCAGTGAATGCCTGGCTTCTGCAGGGGCTCTGTTCCCATCATGCAGGTGTCTAGCCAGGGAGTCTGCCACTGTTGCCAGTAAGATGTCCCCTGCCTCCTTTGCATACTTCTAATTAGAACGTTTGAATTCTTGCATGGGCTGAGGATCATTTTAGTTCCTGAATTTCCTTTTCTTTATCCTGGCAAAAAATGTATGTTGCAGAATAGGACTCTCATTCTAATTGTCTTGGAATGACTGAAAAACAGCAGAACTGCAGCTCTGTGTTACCATGTTCAGGGTAGAGTGAAAAGGGAAACAGATGTTCACAACTGAGATTTTGAAAGAAAGCTTTTGGAGTGTTTGGATGGGTAAGGAAAACCACAGAAGTAACAACACGCCAACTTCTGTGCAAATGCAAAATAGTAAACAGGGCTTATGATCTGGAAATGTTGAGCGTGGCTTTCAGACTGATGGGGGCAGTAATTCCTGTCAGCTGAGATGTCTGTTCAGAGCTTCATTTGCTGTTATGTATTTTGCAGAAGAAGAAAGAGTTCCTCCAAAGATTGAAGTGCCAAGAAAACTGAGCCAGGAGAAAGTTACCATCATTTCAGGTAATCTAACACAATGTTAAACTTTTTCTTCATTTTGTGTATGCAGTTTCTTTTTGCCTTTATTTCCTTGCATCTTCCCCTTGCTGTTTTAAAATAATGTTTTTACAGCTCTTGTCTTTTTCACCTGGGTATTTGATAGCAACAAAACTGCTTAGCACCACTTAGGATGCATGAAAACCACTTGAGAAGGATTTATAAAGTAAGCCAATTTATACAAGGTATTCCTTCCTGAATTACTTTGTAATGACTCAATTAGCTTTCATTTCTGCACAAAGGAGATTTAGTTGCATAAATTAGCTTATCATCATTGAGGAAGTGTCACTGCTAAAGGACAGTTTATAGATACAACATGCAGTTGCTGTCAAACCTATAAGAATGTAATATAGACATCTGTGTATACTTTGTGCTTGAGCAGAACAGACTTCTGCCATTCAGAGACTAACAGGGGACAACAAGTTGCCCAAGGGACTGGCAATGTAGACGTCTCTGAAAAGGTCAACTTGACACAGGCTCTGACGATCGACCCAAAGCTCTGTCTTCTTTGATAAAAATCAGATAAACTTAAGACCACTAATTGATCTGCAGCCTGTTTAAATGTTGGCCATGCATATCTTCATTGCATATGATTACCACAGAAAGCAAATGAATTGGGTAAGAAATGCCAGAGTCCAGTGACAGCAGCGTAAAAATTGGAAAAGGACACAAATGCCCAGAAAGACTGTGAAGGATATTCTCTCAGTTTTAGTTTGGCAAACTGCCCTTGTGCTAATTATCTCTAGGACTGGAAAAATAACTGCATACACCATATAAAGTCACATGGCCGGACAACTTTTCTTGACAGAAAAGTATTTCCAGTTATGCTTAAAAACAAGATACGTATGTGCTTCAAGGGCGCAGACCTTTAAATAAACCACTGGTGATTTGACACAGAGAGTAGAGGAGACTTGCTTCTTATCAGACCTTAAGCCTCTTTGAGATCTGCTGCATTGTAACTGTGACCTGCATTGACATGCAATCTGGCTCACCTTCCCTCATCGTACATAATGCATATCATTCTTTCAGGGCTGTCAAGGAAAGGGTGGACAAGAAGAGTTCCTTTAGGAAGTAGCTTTGCAGGGCTCTTCCTGTTGCTGCATGTGGAGAGGAAACGGAGGCCTGATTTCCTGACCCATGCAGGAAAGCAGGAACAGGTTGCTGTGAAGAGTTTTGGGTTGCTTTTCTTGGAAAGGAAGCAAGAGCCAAGTCATCAGATGCTGTTAGCATTGTGCTCTGCTAAAAACATGTGTAAAGCAACATGACTCATTACAGCCATAGCATTTAGTACTCATTTAGACATTACTGTAATTACAGGAGTGTGTCATCATAATACAGTGTTGGGTCAATCCAATTATATACTTGAAAGCAGTGTGTGTGTATATGTGTGGGTTTTTTTTTTTTACAGTAATACATCATCTTGAAGAAGTTCTAAATGATCATACTTTTAAGAAATCAAAACCTTAGCACCTTCATTTTTGACAAGTTTTGACTCCTATGAGAACAGCTTTGTCAGTCTGCTAGTATTTCTGTAATGTTCTTGAAAACACATAACAGTTCTCCCCAGGTGTCAGATTCGTTTCAAGCAATACTTTTAACACTATAGTAAAGCAGTGTCTGATCTTACTTGACCAACTATTTAACACTAGAAACTTGTTTGCTGTTTAGGTCTGTGAGTTGACATGATTATTTCTGATAGGCATCGCATCATAAATATCTAACCTTATTCAAAAATATTTCATGTTTTTCCATAAAAATAAAACATATACTTTTAATTTTCATTTACTGCCTGGCTTTACTAAACCTGAATTTCGCAGATGATCTTCTATAAGTAGTCTGTGAGCTCAGCCTGAGGATGAGGGCAAAAAACCTTTCCTATTTTCTGCTGGATTTTTTTTTTTATTCCATCTTATCTCTACTTCAATTAATGTGCAGACTCCAGAATTCTTTTAACCTTTCAGTCTTGGTACTGACTGTTGCTGCTGGATAGCTTTTATGTTAATTACTAGTGACCTAATTATTTGAAAATACCTAAGTGTTGGAGGGTTTCAACTGTATATCGTGGCTTTTTGGGTCTTTCTTGCTACAACTATCTACCCATTGTGGTTTTCACAACCACTGTTGTTTTAGTAAGCGTAATAAATTCTGTGTTGTGTCAGGGTAAATATTTTGATTTTGGAATAATTGAGGAACAATAGAAGAATGGAACTATCTTGAGAAAGATTATGTGGAGAAAATTGAGCTAGACTAGAAGGTAAGTCCAAATAAATCCACTACAATTGTTTAGTCCTTATTTTACAATTTTTTTTTCACCTTCCTTTCTTCAGGCATGTATTATAAGGTACTGGTATTTTTCAGTCACATAAGCAATTTGAGCCTGCCATCAGGAAGGCTGGCAACCCCTACTGTTTGATCTATCAAACAAAATCTGAAAAGTTTTCATCAGTATATTGGACAAAAATATCTGTTGTTCCTATTACTGTTACTGGAAAAACAGAGATGGCAAAAGAAAACCCTGAGGAATTCTTTGTGGAAGAGTTTTGAAAACTGTTGGATAGTTGTTCATCTGGATAACTCTCCTGGAATGAAAGAACTATTTTCTGGAGAAACAACCTATCCAAAAGCCTGCTCAGTCATTTCTTGACTGATTGTATTAAAAGCAGTGAGTAGATTAAAAACAAACGGCGCTCTGCTCCCTATTTACGAATAAGAATTTATACTTGATCGTCATCTCATTCACCTTTGTGGTCTAAGTGACTGTGCCTTCTAAATACAACAGACTTACATTTAGCAGTTGTACCATACACAGTATTTTTACGGCACAAAACATTTTTTACAGAGTATAATAAGAGTGTAATTTTGACAAGGTAATGCCAGCAAATCAATACCTTATGAATTTAAACTCTAATTGGCACTTAAGTTCTTAATGTTAAATCCACAGACTGTTTTCATGTACTTCGTGTGTTTAGGGGGTCCGTGTAGTTTCCTTGCCATATAAATACCAAATTCCTTCACCTAGGTCCCCTGGTTTTCTTTTACTCAATTCTTTAGATGCAATCAGAAGAAATTTGGCAACTTTTGGAGGTTTTAAAATGGGACGAAGCAGGAAAGAATGGGCTTGTGTTTTACAGAGGTTTTTGCAGCATTTTTTTGTTGTACCTGTGTTTGTAAAGCACTGTGAACAACTTAATCGTTTCATGAAGCTTGCTGTCCTTTAGATGTATATATTCTGAAGGTATATTTACACTTAGTGTCTATGTGTGTAGCTCCTTCTAGTATTTGGAGAAACTTAGTACTGTTGGGTGTGAGAAGGCATATCCAGTATGAACGAACACTTGCTTGGAGACCAGCATAGTTGTTCACAAGCTTATACTGGCACTTTCTCTCCCTATTTTTCACTTCTATGCCTCTGTATACCAGTTGCTGTCTGGAATGTGTGGCTAGCTGATATGAACAGCTCCTCTCTTAGGTTTTTTTCACAAAAGAGGGCACAGAGCCATGGTTAGTCTTTGGGCAACTTCATCAGGTAGCAGCAAGCTTATTTTAAAACGCGTCTTTTCTAGCGTTGCCATGTCATTAGTTCAGTTTCATTCCCACTCTGAGGCTTAATGAAATGCTCACGGTGAACATCCAGGGAGAGATGCGTCTCACTCGCTGTGGGATCTCTTCTGTTGTCAATGTTCCCCATGTAACTCGCATTAGTGTTAACGGGAGTTACTTCAGGCGCATAAATGGTGAGAACAGACCCTAAAGCGATAATCAGTGTGAAAAATCATGATTCACTTTTGTGCAGCTCTGAAGACGTGAAAGTCCTGATTCGTGTATTTAACCCAGATCAAAAAGACAACTGTTGAATGATTTGAAAGGCTGGGATATACCAAAGTAGCTCTTGCAGTTTTTTTCTCACGAGGGCTTACATTATCTGTTGCGGGATAGTTCTGGGAACTGCAGTCAATGCTATATCAAAAAGACTGAGGAGCTACGATTAAAACATTATTGCAAATTAATTTTGTGCTGACCTGTATTACTGCTTTTAATTGTCTCATGCTAAATAATCAGCTGACAGATAAGTGGGAAGTGTCAAGTGCTGGTGGTGCAACATTTCAAACCGATTCCATTTTCCTCTTGGGATTATACTATCTACACATTTTACCAAATCTCTTATTTCTAAATAGATGGGATTTTTAAAAATGTATTGCTGATTTTGATGTGATGACAGAAGAATTTGTGCATGGATAGTCAGGACGCCCTCTAGCGCTGTACAGTAAATGTTAGTAATCACCGGTTTATGGAAAAATAAATGGTGGCTAATAGCAGTTTTAATTTCAAGGTTGTGAATGTTTCATCTTACGCCAGTGTTGTCATCAAAACAAGATAGCACAGAACAGACTGAAGTGAATAAATAGAAAACAAGCTCTTCTTGCTCATATAGAGAATTAAAATTAAGCTTTCCATGTTTGTCAAAATAGAGAACAACACAAGTTGAATACTCCTTTATTTTATATAGAGTATGACATTTTCTTTTGCTTTTTACTTGATATTTTAGCAGGATTTTGTTTCAGTAATAAACTTAACCAATCGTGATTAAATTGTAAACTATAAATAATGGTGTAGAGTGCTAATGACATGCAAATGTGACTGGTATATGTTGGAACAACCAGCAAGCCTGCTGTTCAAGGATCATATAACAAAACTAAGATGACAGCCTTGATCCAGCCAGTTCAGTGATATTTATGTTATCAGAATTAGGAGATAGCTTTCCAGTGATGTAAATTATTAGTACGTATACATTCTGTCTGGTTAGTGTATACATAATGTAACTGGTCATCTTAGTGGTATTGCTTACATTCTTTTTGCATTAACTCATCACACTCCATTCTCATGGAATTAAAAACAGGAAATAGTTTGCAGTGTAACAGAAGCACCCAGTGTATTTAACCATGTGTAAGTGCTGTGTTTCAATAGATGTACTCTGTATTGTAAGTGTATGACAAAGCATTTATTACTGTGTTATTGCCGTATTACAGAGCAAAGAGTGCTAAATAATCAATCAGTTAATGGTCTGTATGGCAGCTTGAACACAGCACATCCATTGTGCTTATGCTGTTAGAAGGATGAGTTTATGACTGTAGTGTAGTTGCATGTTTAGCCAGAGCTTAATGTCCTAAGCTGGAGCTGACAAATATTTTTAAAATGCAGCTTCAGCAAACAGTTTAAAAGTTCTCCAGTATTTCAGAAGGAACAATCAAAGATTATCTGAAAGGTTCTCGGAGCAGAAATGGAGGGGGGGAGCATATCATAAAATACTTAAATTTGGCTTCCTTTCACAGATTATTATTAATTATACTCTAGCATTTTTATCAGTTTCAAGTTGAGATACAAATATGGCTTGCTGGAAATATATTGGTAGAGGAAAACTAGCTGCTCTAAGCTGCAGCTGGAAAATGCTTTGAAAACCTGTAGCTACATGTCTCTAAGTGATACAACTGCTGCCAGTGAAGGGCTCGCGCATTAAACCTGGTTTCCGCTTGCTTTTGTGGTATGAAGGAGCTATTTTTACGAAGAGCATTAAGAAATGTGCTCTAATAAATTGCCGCGTAGTGTCTGGAGACTTAAAGAGTAATTTTCATCCCTCAGAATCTTTATCCTTTTGTAATTAGCTGCTGTGTTTTCTCCGCAGATGGTAAAAATGCCGATTACGCTAATTTCTACCAAGGTTTGTGGGACTGCACAGGAGACGTACCTGATGAGTTGACATTTAAACGTGGTGACGTTATCTACATTCTCAGCAAGGTACAGCATGCTATTGAGACTAAATAGTTGTAAAAAGAGAGCCGTGGTAGAAGGGCACATTCCCACAGTACTATGGGGGGAAACTGGCACTCCCTTTCAGATCCTTTGTTTGCAATCAGATATTCACCGCAATTAATTATTTTGTCAAATGAACTATAATCGCATTGAAAACATAGCCATGTAACAGGAATTAACTTAAAAGCATGTTTATTTACTTGTTAAATCCTGGCTACCGTTTGTTAACTAATTTAATGGGAGACAATGTGCTTTCTGCTTGTAAAAGTTAACCTTGTAGAATTTTATATTATCTTGTATGTTATGTTTTTTGTTTCCTGTTTTATATTCCCGACTATGCTGATTCTGGCTTTTTGGGCACGTTGCTGCTGAAGGCGGCTTGTTTTTTCAAATTACGCTTTCATCTCTGTGCGTGTATTGCAATTGTTCTGACAACCTGGATTCCGAGTTTGTTTGCCCTGACAGTTATAGGCCATTTTTAATTCACTGTTTTCCTGTTTGGAAAGCAAATGATAGATTTAATTCTTCTGGTTTAAAATGATGTTAAGTGGTATAAGCATGAGATTTTATTTTACTGTAACGTTCATTATTTTTCCTATATTTCCTTTTAAAAAATGTCTTAAAAATGTATCTCAGTCCATCAAAGTCTATTTCTGAGCAATTCATCAAAGAGGAAATTTCTGTCTTCCCCACATATTAGAAAAAAGCGGCGCTTTTCTACTTTTTATTAAAAAAAAAAACCACATACCTCAGATGTAGTTGCCATTCAGTATAGTTCATGCTGAAGATATTGTAGGTCACTGAAGTATGTAAGTAGCTGCATGAAAGCTAAGTCATCTGTTTGTATTGGTTTCAAACTCTTCAGTTTTGTCACAATTGCTGTAAATCTTCCTTGATAACTTTAACTGCAGTGTTTCTGGATAATAAATGTACAGCTTCTGTTTAAATAAATTTAAGATTTATGGGTAGAAAGGTAGTCCTATACAAAAATATAGAAGATATATTACTAATGGTAATGTGACCGTGTATGTCTTTTGAGGTATTTCATTGTCACTTAAACTAATAACTGAATTACATTACTAGAGGCAGGATAGCACTCTTTGATTGGGCAGACTTTCATACAGTTATACTGCACTGAAGAATGGTGCTAATTTAAAATAACCGCCTCTTCCCCCTCCCCTGTCATCCAAAAAAAAAACCCCCTCTGAACGAGGCGATCCCCTGTTCATGCTGGCCTCTTTGTGGGTTGTACCTTTCTGTAACAACGGGGACTAATACAATCTTAGTCTTCAGTGTGAAGGTGGAAAAATCACTTGCTACCTCTTCCCCCAAATAGTGAGAACTTTAAATAAAAAAAAAAAAAGTGGAATAGAAAAACAGTAGCTTAAGCTGTCCTCCGTATATCAGCCGTCTTGTGGTCGTGCCTTGATTAATCCGTACGCAGTCCTTGAAGCCGGCCTGCTGTTGCTCCAGATATATTGAACCTTTCGGTTTGTGAATGATTTCTGCACCAAAACAGAGCCCAGCAAATTCAGTCCTGGTTCACTTAAAGATTGTTAGAGCTTCTTCAGAAAAATGAGTGCTGGCCACTATTGTCAGCTCTGAATTTAGGGTCCTTGGAGGGGAAAGGGCCAGAGAATTTATCCATCTCAACCGTCCACTTGCTTCAGTTTCAAGGTCTGATCTTTTACAAGCTCCTTGTCCGATAAGGGAGAATATAACCAAAGTAGAAGTGAACCTAACCACCCTGAAGTAAGTCAAGACTTTGCCTCAGAAAATATTTCTTAATCCACTACATTAACACTTGATTTTTGTAGGAGTCCACAGGAGTCCTTGGCATTTTTTTTACTTTTTCACACCATCTAGTGGCTGAAAATGAGAGATGCAGGTACTGACAAGAGGTGATGTGGATAGATCCAAAATGGTGTCATAAATTCAGCTTCAGCTTGCACCTAGCTATGGCTTATTGCCTTTCTGTCATATGTCAGCCAGGTATGAACATTGCTCTCAAAGAAATCACATTTGGCTGATATGGAAGTAAGTACAGGTATAGTAGTATCCTAGTAGAAAGGATTAAGCATTGAAAATATGTTGAGAATATTTGTATAACATGTAATAGTTCTTTGTTTTACGACAAAACATAAGTGACATAGCGTGGTAAAACTTGATAAACATAGTTAAAATACATATTTTTAGATTCCAGCAATTGTTACACCAAAGCACTGTAATTCTACCTGCTTTTTACGTAGCTTTACAGAAAGTGGGGTGGAAAAGTGACTATTTTGTTTCTAAGGAATGAGCTCATTAGTGCAACAAAGTCATTATGAACCAGTTTGGAAAATATGGGCATGGATATAGTTGAAGTAAAGTAAGATAAGTAACATGTTACGTTTAAGTTTCTAGTTGAATGCCTTTTAGAAGAATAATCAAGATTTCAGTTTGGCAACATTTACTCCCAAAAGTACCTAACGATTAAAAAAGACAAACCCTCCTCAATTTACCTCATATTGAGCCTCAAAATTCATTGTTAATGTAAGAGCACAATTTGCCTGCTTAGACATGGATCCTAACCTATGCACACAACAAGTTGCATTACTGTATAAAAGTAAGTTTTCCTTGTTTTTAAGGATGCATTTGAAAATCTGTTGAGCTAGCCTCCGAATATTTGTCTGTTGTGACTTCTGCTTGACGGTAGTAATGTGGACTCCTAGCCCTCCCCCTGCTCCCCCAAAATAGTTTTTTTGGAGTTTTAACCCTTTATTTCCTTCAAAATTTGAGTTTTTAATGTGAGCAGATTAAGCAGAACTGCCTTTGTTAAATTTTCTTTATAAGAAGGAAATTAACTTTTCAGATTAATTATCAACATATTTGTACAGGTACACTCATATTAGTTAGTATCATTTTAATTTATAATATTTCTGAATATTTTAATGACTTTTTTTTAACCTAGCTATGAGCTGTGTGAACTTTCAGAAATTTATACCCCCCATGCAGTACAAAATATTTTATAGCTCTACTGATGGAGTGAATTTTTAATATTTCTCTGTTAATATTGACTATTAGAAATGCAATACTTTAGAGTGTCCTGTTTTCTAAAGGGATGATTGCTTTCAGCTCCTGCTCGCTTGCGGGCTTGCCTTTGCTTTCAAGTTCATATGATAAATGGGGAAGTAAACTGTGGTGTAACAGTCTGTTTTACAAATCTTCCATAGCTCTTATTCAAGAAATCAATTTTCAGAAACAAAGCCAACCGTGAGTGTTGGTAGTCATATTTTTTTAAAGTTTGGTATGCCTTGAATTCAGGATATATATACAATTTACATAAGTGTGGCAGTCGCAGTATTTATTTATTTGTTTTAGGTGGAATGCTTCATGTTGGGAAACTTCATAGTTTCATCAGCCAAATGCAAGTAGTAATGGAAATTTACTTGGATATTAGCAGGCTCTTGCTTAGCAGAATTACCTCTTAACCTTTAATTTAATTTCATTCCCATCAAGTTTACATTTATATTTTCTGTAAAGCAACAAATAATACTTGAAAGTCAAAAATTGTATTTTGAACTGGAACTGCTTCCCTGTTATTACTTCAGTACATGCCAAGGCAATATAATGCTACTCACTCTGGTATTTATGATCCATGGAAATCACATCTATGACTTAACCCTTTACTTTAGAATTTTCCGTGTAAATAGAGTATTAACTCAGTATCTGGATTTCCCTGTATTCTGTGGTTGTACATTCACAATGGGGCAGATCGTTGTTCCTTCAGCACCGCAAATGTTTGTTAAAACGTCCGCATCTGAACCTGTATTTTTCTTGTTCAATGAAAAGGCAAACAAAGAAGTCTCCACAGCTTGGATTACTACTTAGGAAATAAAGTACAACTTAATAGTGCAGCTGTTTAATAATGAGTGAGAGCATTTTGTACAGTGTATGTGTAATCTTTTTATAAAGTATATTTATTCAGTATTTTTTCATAAAGATGTGAAAGGCATACTACAATTTTGAATGATTTTTTCAGGCCCTTGTCTGATTGACCATAGTGAGAGCATAATTTAGCTTCCCATGATCATCACACTGACTTTGTCTATGTTAGCAAATAGTGTGTACCAATGGGAGCAGATTTGCAGAGTGACACATGTAGTGCTTGAGGACATGGTGTCCACTCTGTACGTTTTCCATGAGGTTTAGTGTCAGAATAGGTCTACTTGCTTTTGTGGCCTGAGTCCATGTTAGTGGTTGGAGCACATTAAAGCCTATCTTCCGTTTTAGTTTCATTTGAAAGAAATATAGTTTGTGTGTTCTGCAAAATGAGCTGAAGTGTGTACTACGGTAAGACACTTCTCATCAGAACTAAAATGCAAATGCTTATGCACTTACTGAGTTTGAAATTTTATTTTTCTTACTTGTTTAGGTATGTTCCTTACACAGAAATAAACCTCGTACATGGTTAAATATAAGGCCACTCTTACGAAGGCCTTTAAATGAAAGGTTAGTTAATACAGACTAATGCAAAGTGACTCTAGCTGTTGGTTTGCACACTGTTTAATAACATGTAAGCATTTACTTACTCTATCAGAAAAATTTTGGCATTATGACGTATGACAGAAAGAAAAGACCTCTCAGTCATTCTGCGATGTTTTCAGGGGCCAGCTTTGGTTTAGAAGTCAGTCTGCTTATCCTGATTTGTATTGGAACTTTTAAATTGGTGTCTATTTTGTTTCATGTCATTGAAGGAAATAAAACCTAATAACACTGCCATACAATAAATCTGAGGCTTGCATTGTTAAAGATGACCATTTTATTGCTGTCTTAAAACAACTCTACTACCTGTGAAGAAGTCTCATTCAGTTATCTAAAGCATTTGTCATCTTCTGCTTTTTAGAGAAAATGCTGTTCTGTGCCAAAAATGCTCCCTAGTTGATCGTGTATCATTCAGCAATTGCACTAAAGGAAGTTCTAAAATTTTTCAGCTAGTCTGAATCTCCTGGATGAATTAGAGGTGTTTTAAAATATTATCTTGCCAAAATTGGCCCCTAGGATATTCTTTGAAAAAAATTCTGTACGTTTCCTGCACGTGATAGGAAGCTTAGCTTTAGCTTGATAGGAGATGCTGTTTATTTTAATGACAGACCAGGTTATGGAAGCATTTTGATTTTCAGTTTTAGAAATTGCAACTTCGATCTATAAGTTAGTATTACTAGTTAGCATTGCTAGTAATGCTGTGGGAGAGGAGGAGAGAAAAAACCTGAGTTCACACACTTCAGTTGTGTATTTTTTAAATACAAGTCCATTGTTTTCTTCAAGGCATTGAAACACAATGATGATTTTCAGCAACTCTTGTTTTTGAAAAGAACATACCATATGTATTGAACAATACAGGCTAGTTGCACAAGGACCAGATGTTCTCAAATTTTGTTAAAGTCACTAGAAGTTAGCAGGGTGCAAAGCAGGTGGAGATGCTCGTTTACTCAAAGGATCTGTTTCTAAAAGGTAAGAGGAGAGTGCTATAGACATCCTCTTGCATGTCAAAATTCACTTCTATACAGTATAAAAAATCTTAGATTTAAAAGATAAAAAATACATGTGAAAAAGAGGTAGTATATTTCTACGTACTGTGCTTTCCTCAAGTGCAAAAAACTTTTAAAATCAGTATCTCTTAGAGTTTTAGGTACATACATAGCATAATGCAATGAAATTGGTGGAATAGGGACAAGGAGAAGCATCTGCCCACAGTGTGTCCAGCTGAGAGCTTTTTAGGAGGCTGTAAATCCTGCTTTCTTCCCCCCGCCCCCCATCAATGCATACTGCTTAGAGAATGTTTTGCCAGCATATTAAATATTAAGACACAACCTGTTCCTTGCTGCCTTCTGAAATGGCTTCACTTTATTAAATACATTTCTGCTGGAAAGAAAAATCCGCTCTGTATTACAGACCGTAAAAACATGGAAGTGGCTTAGAAAGCCTTTGGTCATTTGTTAGAGTTGTATTATTTGGCTTAATGTATTCCACTACCCTGGTGTTTGTATTCCAGGGGTTGTGCTGGCCTCTTCCCTGCCACTCTCCCATGCGTGCGGGTGCACGCACCCACATGCACGCACACAAACATTGCTCAGAGTCACATGGAGTGGCTGCAAGTGTGGGTGCACGCTTGTGCATTCTCCTCATTGCAGCATGGCTGGAGTTGGCCCTGCCCCCATCTCCCACCCCTCTATTTCCCTTGGAGCAATTCATTTTGCAGTTATTGAATTTCTTCGGAGAGTTATTTTCATACAGCAAGCATCACAGCACCTCTGGATCTTGATAGCATTTCTACATAAGGAGAAAGAAGCTTTGTGTTAGTAATTACCTAACATTGTCAGGAGCTGACTGCAGGCCTCTTTCTAGTGATAACAGAATAACCACATAATGTAGCTTTATAGCACATGATTAATAGAAAATAATTACACATCCTACAAAGGGATGCAATATTTCTTATAAATTGACTACAATGGTTTCCTGTAGATTAAAGGACTCTTCATTATTTTATCAGTCCTTCTGAAGTATAGTTGCTTCCCTATGTTAGCACTGATGTTGAAGAGCTGAACGCAGTGAGGGATACCAGATGGTAAGCCTAGTGGTACCTGAGATCTTAAGCTGATGCTTGCAAAAACACCATGCTTCCCCACTCCTCAGAATTAATATTAATACTCAATTGTATTCATATCCTACTGCATTTTCATTATTATTTCCCACAGATATCGGCTTTAGACTTTTTATTCTACACATCTTAAACAGCAGTAGCAAACATATGAACCTCACAACAACAGCAAATCAGTTGAGTTCTATTGTCACTAAGTAGTTTATCATTGATAACAGTGATAGAAACAATACATCAATTTGGATTTTATATGTGAATGCAAGAAGGGAGTGGGGGAGACTGCTTTTCTGTCTGACTAGTAAGCACTCTGTTGTGTGATACGGAGGACAGAAAGGAGTGGTTAAAAGCTGTGAGAGAAATGCCTGTACTTTAATCAGTTTAAAAGGGACTGCTATGCAATTATTCTAAAACCTGAGATTAAAGTTTTATATTCTCGATAACCAGGTATCTGTATTATATTTTTATTCCAACTTCTGCAGATTGCAGATGGTTTAATTGGGATTCATGTTGCTCTTGAGACCTGTACAAAGAATACTAATGATAAAGTAAAAGCTCTTCTGCATTGCAATCCTGTCTGTATAGTATAATGGTTGCAGTGAATCCTTAAATTAGTTTACTAGTCCGTTACATCAACATTCATTTCATCTTCTCACTTAGCTTCATGCCAGAGCAGTAAGTGGTGTATTACTAAGTGGCAAGAAACGGGAAGTTTTCAAAACAGCAAACACACTCTTAATTTTAATCTGAGGCATCTAAATTGTTCCTTAAAAACTCATTATTTTTAAGTTCATGTAATGTTGCTAAGTGGAACATTTTCAATGGATAATACAGTCCACAGGCTTTTTCTGTGCCATTTGTCATATACAGTTTAATGACCACTTAACTAAGCCACTTCCCTCATTTCATGTATTGTTTGTTTTTTTGGCTGATGTCTAGCAAAACTTGCTTAATCACTCTCGCCAGTCACTTCATGAGTTCCATGTAGCAGCTTAAAATCTTTTGTTGCTTTCTGCTGGAGAGATTTATTGCTGAGATTCCAGTAGCGTACGTGAGTACTGCTCCTTTCAGCAATTTCCCACTTTAGTCTAGAAATATAGTTTGTATATTTAAGCAGTGTATTGTGAGATAAAATATATATTTTAAACAAGCTGATCTGGAACACTGTAAACCTTGATGTCAGGATATTATTTAGCCTTCAAGGATTTGGGGAGTAACGTGTGCCCTGTGGGAGAGACTCTGAGCAGTTCTTTGGAGAGCACTTTTGCCACTGAAGATCACGTTCAGATATCTCTAGACTTTCAGAGCAGGCACATCCCTAGATTTCTGTTCTGCAGCACAAGGGGGAAGAAGGTGGAATTATTTTTGCAGCTTCTAGTTGCGTGTGTTCACATCACAAATGAAGTCTTTCCTGCTGTTTTCTATGTGGGTTTTCTTTAAGCCATACTTACTGCAGCGTTTCATGGATGGTAGGATAGAACCTGTTAAATCACCAGTTTCTGTTTGCATTGTAAAGACAAGGAAGGACGTGTTTAATTTAAGACTGGTGTTCAGCCTTCCGCAGTAGAAAATAAAAAAGAGTGGGAGTGCATGCCTGCATGCACGCTAGAAAAAGCCTGGGCCCGCGTGGACACATGGATCTAGTCTTGAAAGTGGGGTTACCAACAGGGCTTTATTGCAGTTGTGCAGAGGGAGAGCCGAGTCGCTAAGCACCGCACAGGACCGAGGGCACTCTGCAGACCAGGCCGTCTGTGCCTGCAGCAAAGCACCCTCGCGCGCGTTCTAATGGAAGTCCATTAACCCTTAAGCTCCACCTGACTATTTATAACCGAAAAACTTTATCTGCAGTCAAAATAATAGCTTGTAGTGTCATCTCAGTAGGCCCATTAATTCAGAAGTCTGTAGCCTTGCTTTTCTCATCAGAAGAGCAGTGCAGCAGGAAGCAGATGTTGCTTATCAGTGTTATCTGTGTATTTTGTATTTTCCATGTTTGTTCCAAAGTAATTTTTATCTTACTAATCATTCCATTTTGAATGGGGTCTCTGTTTTAATAATGCTTCATATGTAACTCAATATGTGTGTGTGTGCAATTTCAACTGTTACAATTTATTGAACTGCTGTTAGGATTGATCTTAAAATATTTACCTCATAGGAAAAAAATTAAATTTGGATCCCACAATACTCTTACTTGGTATAGCTTTTGGAAGATATTATTTCTTTAAACTATTATAATTCATTTTGTTTCATATTTATCTCACTAAGCCTAAACAAATTTCAAACAAAAGTACATTAGTCATCTGTCAGACACATGAGATCTGCTGTAGAATTTTCTGCAAGCCTAAAGCAAGAGTAGACTTTGTCCGTAAAAAGAGACTATGTATTAGATACATAGCATTCCTTTCACATTTGAGCAAAGTATTATTTTAAAAAAGTTGATCGTTAAGTTCCCTGGAGTTTAGCCTTGTGATACGGAAAGCAGCTCAGCTGATTCTTACATTTCAGCATTGTGCTATTGGATATTAGTTACAAAGCCAAGATGCTTATATTTGTGAAGCATATAGGATGGAGAGCTCAGCTATTTTTAGTATGTGTTGTAGAGAAGCATGGCCATAATTAAGAAATTTTCCTGAGTATGCCTGGCCTTTTTAAAATTTAACTTCTGTCCTTGCCTAACTCTGCATGTGAATGCCTGTAACAAAAAGATATAATGTTTTAATTTTCAGTTGGAATGATTATAACTGTATATATGAGGAAGCATCCATAAGGAGTTGCATACGAAACTCTATTGCATTTATATCAGACTAAAGGTTAATATTGCATATTGTTTTCAATTAGGAGTACAATAGATTTGGCTGGTGGGTAGGAGAAATGAAGGGAACCATTGGCTTGGTGCCTAAAGCCTACATAATGGAGATGTATGATATTTGAGAGGCCTGGGTAAGTACATTTTAATCCAATCTTCTGTAATGGCTTATATGTTCCCTTGTTCTCTGTTTCATAAGTATTTCTTTCCTGGAACCTTTGTAGGAGTCCTGTTAACATAAAGATTATGGCAAAATATATTGAAGGTTCAATTAAAGCACCTCTTCTGGGATTGTGTATGAAATATTAAACCACAGTGTTCAAAATAAGATGTATTTTATAACTAGCTTTCTTTTCGTGATTTTTTGGGTAAAATAAAGTTGATGTGCTTTCTAGTTAGTTTTGTTACTTGAGTAATATGCATGTATCTGTCTATACAGAAATCTGCGGAAGGGGATAGATATTTGGACTGAGCTTTGAGCATTTGTCTGAGTTTTTTTGGCTAACGATGAACTACCAACTGCTTTCTTCCTAATCAGGAGAAATCTGCAGTTGAAATCAAGAGTGGTGCGCAGCTGCAGTTTACAGACCCAGCCTCTGATCGAAGAAGATTCTGCCGTACGCATTTTGTGGTTTCAGTGAATGTAGTCGGATCACTGCCTTGTATATATTAAACATTAAAAACTGTAATTGATCATCATTTTGAGGAAATGTTCATCTTACTTTTTATAGAATTGTAATGCTAGGAAATGAAATAGATGATAATTAACGTGTGGGGCCCAAGCAGTCAAATAGTGCCTGTTGATTTTTGCTTAAGCAGATTCGCAGCACTCCATATTTTTATAGGTTTTTGTTGTTTCAGTGAAACATGTTTTTCTGTTACTCAAATTAAAAAAAAAAGAAGCTGAACTTTGAAAGTAGCAAATTATTATTCTCTTAATGCATGTATTAATCTTTTGGTGTAGCAGTTCACTGTACATTTTTGCCTAGCTTCCTAGCAAAATCAAACAAAATTTCTATGTAATAATGCAAGTCTTAAAGGTATTATGCTTCAAAATTATTATTTTTACATTTCAACAGATGATATATTTTTTCATGTATGTTTAGTATTGTTAGTTAGTATTTTGTTATCACAAAATAAAGGATTGGCTCCTTGGCTAATGTAAATCAGCTTAGTTGGTAATACCGCTGTGCTACCATTCTGCCATGCAAACATGAATCGTGAAAATTTGGCAAAGGATAACGTATTAAAAAGACAATTTTTGTACACCAACGTAAGATAAACGGCGAGTGAGAGTGATTTTGTCAGCAGTGGAGAAATATTCCTTTTTACCTGTTGCTTACAGATACTTTCACAGAGTCAAACCTGGATATCTTCTTTATGTGGAAAGTCTGGTACAAGTTATGCAACAGATCTCAGTTCAACGTTACAGTTAGTAAGGGCTACCTACAGTCTTAGTAGTGTCAAATTGAGAACTTTGTGGCAAAAGCATCAGTTGAAACGTTAAAAAAACCCACACTAAAATATGCTCGCTTGTGGACAAGGGGCGGGCTGGACAAGTCAGAGTTAATGCTTTAAATGCTCTTCTTTTGGGGATGTGTTTTGCTGTTAGCATGTAAGATCAACTTTTTTTGAATCCTCCCACACAGTTGATTTGTGAGACCCTTAATCTGCCAAAAAGGCAGGTCAGGCCAGTCTGTGAATTGCTGAGCCTGTGCAGGTCTCCTTGTAGTTGCTTGTGCTGTTTATGCTTCAGGCAGGCCCTGGAAGCAGTGTGGGTTAAAAGGTAACATTAGGCTAAACTCAGAATTAGATCCTTCTAATAAGCTAAGATGTTGTGCTTTATTTTTACTAATGTATTTTACTTTCTGGTGCACGCAGTTCTAATAGGAGTCAAACAGCAGGGTAGAGAGTTTTCTTGTATTTTTTTCAAAAGAAATAGTCATTGAAATTGATTCTGTATGTTATCTGTGGAGCATTAAAATGATAGATTATAGTCTTCAGATCTTTTACTACTTTAATTTATCAAGTGTACTTGTGGATTGTGTACAGAATGTGAAGCGTTAATATCATGGCTATAAAAGCTCCTTCTCTCTTGTTAACATGGCAGCATAATAAATCTACACACCGAAATGTCTTTTTATTAATTATGTAATTCCGAAGGCCACCAGCACCTACCCTTCGTGGGGCCCAGATCCCTTTTGTCGAGACTCGCGGTAGCCCCTCGTGCATCGGCCGCGAAATTTCAGGTTGAGAAGTCCAGACAGCGGCGGCCGTACAGTGAACGTCAAATCTAGGCAAGGCTCTGCCTGAAGTTTCGCTTGGCGATGCCCCAGCGAAAGGCAGAGCCGCTCCGGAGGCGGCCGAGCGCGGCCGGGGCCGGGGCCCAGTAGATGGCAGCAAATTTTCGTAGCACGGGAGGCGCACGAAACCCTTCCCCCTCCGGCGCTCCCGCACGGGCTGCGGCGGAAAGCGTTGGGAGCCCCGCATCCGCTTTTGCTGTTTTTCCAGGAGAGGGAGTCCTTACCCAGCTGATGAGTAGCAGGCTTGCGGGGCTCTTTTTCTTCTCGGTGGTGACAAAAAGAGCAATAAAATGTCTTTTGTCTGTCGTTCCCCTGGCCTTTAATTTTTTTTTTTTCTTTTCTCCCCGTCCTCCTTTAGTACATATGGGAGGTAAGTAAACAAACTGCCTTAAAAATTCAAAACATGACAGAAAGATGTTCTCAAACTCGCTTGAAGTGTCTTGGAATAAACCAACAATAGAACATAGATAAATTGTTTACTTTAAGTCTTTGCAAATACCATAACCTTTTTTGGATAAGAAAACCTCCATTAATACAACTTAAACAAAACTCAGTGTTAGAAAATGCTAATTGCTTTATTTTCATTGTTTGCTTAGGTCCCTTTTGCCTTTCTGTGAGCAGTAGGACAGCTAATTTTTTAAAAAGGTGATTGCAAGTCATATCTTGTACAGCATTTTACTTGATTATTTGCTCTGTTCTGAATTTGTACTATACTGCCATTAGATCTTACAATAATGTTCTACTCTGCAAATTTTTAAGGTTCAAATAAAGTTTAATTGTTTGCAAACTGTTATGATGCTAATAATTCAACAGCCTGCTGTGTTACTAATGAAATTACTTTGTTATGATTAATTTGGAAAATAGTGTGTTGATTGTAGTAATTAAGCACAACAAGGTGAAGTAAATGATTCTAATGCCATCTGGCCTCCAGACTGAATGAAGAAATGAAATGGGGCTGTCATTTGAATTTATTCAGAGAAGTAAGGGTAATACAAATGCTTTTTATTGCGAAGGCACCCGGATATAACCATCCCACTTTCTACTATTATTTCATGTACTTCTGTATATAACTGCTTCACATATTTTACCAGCGTCTTGTTAGAATGTACCTCCTTGTACATGCTGCCACTGATTACATACACTGATGGCAGCGTATGTGCTGGTTTCTTCCACCAGTGAGGTCTGAGGATGAGATTTAAAGACGTGATGTGCATCAGCTTACCTTTTGCTCCTCTCTTAACGATAAAAACTTTCTTTAACTAGAATTAAGCGAAACGTGAACACTAATTAAGATCTCACCGTATATGCAAAGCCAAATGCATACACTATGTTCTTTTTAGCTCTGCAGTCAGTGCATGATGCAGCATTAAAAGGAGCATAAAGCCTTTAAAAGGAGTGATAACCCTTTAGAGCCTGATCCAAAGACTGCTGAAATTGAGAAGCTATTGAATTCATTTGCTTCTGGATCAGGCTGTCAGAATGGTAACTCAAAAATAGGCAATAAAATTTCAAAAAGCCTTTTCCTGAATACTGTCTGTCTTTTTTCAGAAAGAGATGCAATTATTTTCGTAACCTGAACTAAACAAAAGAGAAGCACTAAATTCTGTGTAGCTGAAAGACAGAAATCCATTTTTCTATCTCAGGTAAAGAGAAGTTGTAGGTATAGATCAGAATCCTGGTTTGATGAAGTTCCCTGGGATCTGCAGGAAAACTGCAGAACATTAAAATGGGATGAAAGTACCCAGGTAGGTGACAATGGGATGCTATTCAGCTGTGCAAATCGTCGGATGTTTCTCCCATCTGCTTCCCTCAAGTTGACGAAAAATGTCTCATTAATATGGAGTAGTGGGAGTATGTGTGTGCATGGAAACCTTATAAACAACTTTACATAGCAGAATGTACTGATACACTGCAAGACCTTCACTAACCAGACTTTCTCTGAAGTTGACGTTTCTCAGACAAGTATCTGCTTAATTCCATCTTTCTTTAGAGAAATACAGACTGAGCTCAGTGCAGAGTGCTCTGCCAAACCTGCATCTCTGTTTTAGCATTCATTTCCTGCTCTGCATCCCTTGCCTTGCTGTGAGGGGCCAGCACCAACAACTTAAGGACTTAAAATCAGGGATTCAGACTGGTATAAGCACAGTGTTTCATGCCTCTGGAATGAAATTACCACTTGGCCAGTCTCTCCTTGCTACAGGAAGAGTTAATCGGAAGCCAGGTTCGTGGCAGGATGTGTGGGTCAAAGAGGTGCCGCCTTTCTCCTCTGGCTATACTGTGCCAAAGAGCATATATTTCTTTTTCCCTTTTACATTGTAAAGCAGAGCAGGCAGTGATAAGCCCTGAGTCATTATATCATGGCCGTTTATGGATTAATTTAGGAATGATTTTGTAACAGGATCTAAACAATTCTGTTTCTACTGCAGGGAATTCTTGGTCAAAAAGAGACTTCACCACAAAGAGAAGTCCACAGGGAACAGGGTCCAAAGCAAACTAGAGGAACAACCTCTGCACTGAAATATATACCACCATGAGTCAAAGCCTGAGATGTCAGCTCCTTCCTAGCCTTTTGGGAAGAGCAAGTTTTATAATAGTGAAAAAAACTAAAAATGCAAGGTGTCATCTTGTAGCAATGAGTGGGAGAATGAAGTATAGCAATGCAGACAGCCTGAAAACAAGAGCTGCTGGTAGGTGAAGCGGCAGATAGTTTCAAATGCCACTAAAACCCAGTCTATCTCTATTAGTTTTCTGTAAACGGGTGTGTTGGAGCTTTTATCTCAAAGTATCCTGCGTGTCTCACAACCTGTGCAACAAATTTCCTCTCACCCTCTGCTGTAAAACAAGTGCTACTCCATAAAGATATTTGACGACTAATGAGCATTTTACAGCAATACTTGAGAGTTTATGCTGTGAGATGAAAAAATTCCACATTCAGGTACAGTGGAAGGAAGGATTTATGCTGGCAGAACAGAATTAGCAGTTTGGCCGCTTCCAGTCTACTGCAATTGCTTGCATATTTGTAAATCGTGCCATGGGACTTCTAATGGCCACAAGCAATCAGGATTTTAGTTTTACACCTCATGCTACGAGACAGGGTATGCAGCACCGCAGAACTGCTTGGGTTAAAGGAAACGGTCTTACGCAGGATCGTTGTCGATCCTTTAAACACTAGCAGCGCAGAAGGGTTCCTTGGCAGTCTTCCACCCAAGAGCTGACATGGCCCAATGCTGCTTTTTAATAGTCAAATCTAATAGGGTCAAAATGAGAAGAGCAGAGCAGAGACAGTCTGACAGGCATGGACAACTGAGTTTATTCATTCACAGTTTTCAGCCTTTGAGACTTATTTCAGTTTGGATGGGAAAACATGGACTCTGTGAACAGTCACGCGGCATCAGGGAAGCAGGGGGACCTCCTTCCTTCTCCCTGATCCAAGAGGACTGCCATTTTCCCCTGATGTTTAAATTAAAGGTAGCCAGGGATGAATGCCCATACATACACATGTATGTGTGGGAAGGAGCAGGTTTTATTGTATATTCACTTACAATCATGTTTTGATGCCTGTTTTTCATTTCTAAAAGGTGCTTCTGTCCGCATGATCATGATAGTGCGGCTATAGGCTACAGGTTTTTCCTATAGAAAAATGGTATTTCTAGATTTTTTAAATGTTATTTCCAATTGTTTAAAGGCTCTGTTTGAGTAACTTCCCTTTTCTGTTGCTCCACAATGCCCATCACGATAGTACTCTTTTAGTGCATTATGTTAGGAGCCTATTGTTGAACATCTAGCGTCTTTTCTGGCATCAGTTTTCCTTTGCCTGCACCAAGAGAATACTCTGGGCTCATTTTTTACTACATCTTTTTTCCCCCTGTTTTCAGGCTAATTTTAGAGTTAGTTTCAAGGTGTCAGACCAGAATGAAAGGGGCAGGTAATCTCTGCTTTTAAGTTCCCATTACTTAAAAATAGACATGCCACGTTATCAAATGAAAGACCTAGTATAGTTTTGGAAGGACTATAACTGATGAAGTTCCTATCCATTCATTTTTTTGGCTTCTGAGGCTGGCACATTACAGATGTTGGCATTTGTTATGTGGGCACTTACCTACTTCTAGAGGGAGGCTGCCCGTTCGACTTACTGGCTTTTGAGAGCCACCCAAGGTCAGCTGTGGGTCATTACTGACTTGTGACTTACCCAGGACCAGAGCTGCCTTCCCTCTGATCTGTCTAGCACTGCTTCAGAGGCAAAAGCAAGCATCTTACCTCAGGGATTTTGTTAATTTTCAGAGAAGTGAGGTGAGCGAAACTTCAAAATACAAATGCATCATCCACCATAATAGTTCTTTTCAAGCCACTTTTATGATTTGCGCTTGTGTAAATACTCTGCCTTTTACTGTTCTCCTGCATGCCTTTATTATGCAAAGTTATGAAGAGGAGAACATGTGCCACAAGGCATCTTCCTGAAATATCAGATTGCTAGGATTAGGTCAAATCTGTCTTTCAGGCGAAGGCTAAGAAAATGCCCATTTGAGAATGTGAACCTGAATTTGCACCAGTGGTGGTGGCTTGTGGCAGGCTTAGGCAAGCACTAGAGAAGAAATACCTACCTGGATGGCCCTTTGCTGAAAACTGATCCTTACTAATGAGTGTGTAATATTATATTGGGTCATTCAGCTGCAGCGTTGCTACTGGACATCTCTAAACAGGTCAGTAAGCTAGTAATTTCTGTAGGTCTTTGTACATCAGGTGTGGATCAGGATTTGGAATTATAGCCTCATCTGACAGAACAGCATCTGATGCTGTGATGTGATACATTCTTGTTTACGTGTCCTGTTTATCA